TCCCCGGTGTTCCAGGGAACTCACCAAGTGTCAGAAAACACAACCCTCTCTATTTTCCTCCATACCCAAATCTCTAAAAAAGGGGCTGCAACGGATCTGATAAAAACTGATCCAGATTTGAACACTGTCCTGACGTCAGGACGGTGGCGCTACGGCTATTGGGCCAACTCCACCAATCAGGAGGAGACAGCCACGGCCATTGCCGTTCGAAAGCGCTGGAGACGCTGTAGTACATATGCCAGGCCTGTAGGTGGTGCTGTTCTCACAGAATCAACCCTTGCAAAAACAGAGCTAACATTTTTCAAATTGAGCGAAATGAGGAATGGCTAAAATGCATGATCTGTTTGGTATTTTGAATATAAATATGCCTTATATAGGTATGGTCCTACACTATATTATTCAAATATAGCATGATAGGTCCACTTTAAGTAAAACATGTGATTCAATTCACTCATTATACTCCCTATAGTGAAGACAGTGGATCATTACGTTATCTGACTATAATAAACTAATATTAGAATACAAACTCCCCAAAAAAGTTTTAAATTATTGTTACAGTTGATGAAGGGGGTTGGGGGGGGGGGGGGGGGGGTGTCTAAAGTCAAAGATGAATCTTGATTGGGCCAAATTTGACCTCGAGTCACCCAAAACAATTCTGCTGGGCCTCCCCAGACCCCAACACCAAATTATACACTTTTTTTTAGAGACCTTCAGACTTGGCTAAAATGGTCAAAATCAGTTTTGTAGTGTTTATGTAGCTGTTAGAGGATATCATGAAGCCTTGTTCCGATACAAAAAAACAGAGCGTAGTTATTATATAATTTTAACTTGAAACGGGTCACGGGAGACCCGAACACAACATAAGGGTTAACACAATATTATTTTTGATTTACAGCCCTTATAATTAACATTTTAATCATCATTATAAAAATAAAACACAATACAATGATTTCTTTATCAGTTTAATGCACACTCTATACTTTTATTTTAAGCAGTTTAACATTTTGCAGGTCATTTTAAGAGAGTATTTTTTACAGTGTGGTACGAGTATATTAACAGCAGTAAATTATTAATTCATTATGAAATACTCAAAACTTCAAGTGAAAGGGTGCACCTTCATAAACGTACACTTGGGTATATAAACTTAACAGAATCAAAGATTATTAATAACTAAAAAGTCACTTGAAATAATCTATTAGCTAAAACATGCATACATTTCTCTTCTCTTTTCTGAGATGTATTTATATGCATGGTCGTTGTTTAATCCTCCTATTGTCTTCGTTTTCCTATCTTTGGGTTTGATTCTGACAAAACGAGTCATTAAAAGACATCGCATTGGGATTGACATTATTCACTATTTTTTTTATTTGATAAAACAAACAATAGAGAAAAGAATCTGCAGATTAATGAAAGTAGTTGTTAGTTGCCGCCCTGACATAAACCATCGCTGAAGGTTCACGGGAGCTTCTGTTTTCTGAGCGATGACTTGCTTAAAGATGATTAAAGATGATTAGAGTTATGAGCTGGATGACTCATCAGAAACGCAACGTGACGACGCCCCGCTGACGTCAGCATTATTACAACGCTGGAGTTTAATCACAAAACCCTGATAAGTTTTATGATTAGAGTTTCAGACAGTAAGAATAACATCTGTTCCCAAACACGTTGTCTAGATTTGAGTGCACTCTAAAGTAAAAGAAAACCTAACTCAAAGATCTTCACCCATCAGTCTTCATGGAGGTTAAATACAGAGAAGATGGACACAAGAAGCAGGAAGGAGATGCTCAATCAGAGGAGAGGAAAACTACAGAGTAAGACCGTCTTTCTGTTTACTTGCAAGAATAAAAGACTAAGAAGAGACATCTTATTACGGTTTAAAAACACTAAACGTACAAGCCGTGGGTTTGCAAGGGTCCACAGTAAGGAGATTGATAAGTCCATACAAATATATATACCTGTACTTTAAATAAGGTCTCTTATTGTGAGTATAGGTCTCTGTTAGACTGTTGCATTATGCACTCATTCAGGGTGTGCAAATTAGTTACGGCTATAAGTCCTAAATCCACTGCATTTAATTAAATGTAAAACATATATTGTCTCAGGGAAGGGGAACTATTTTATCATCTTATCTTTAAAAAATAAAACGGCAAGGATCCATAAAGGTATATCTTATTTTAAAAAGGCCTCTGCAGCTGTACAGGCTTCAATATATATCAGTAGCAAGCTCTGTATCTAAAACTCATCTAAAGATATGTAAATGGTGCTCGTATCAATCCCATTGCAGTGGAGCTTTGTGAACTCCACTAAAGCTTGTACTTCTACCCTTAATAAGAGGTGTATTAGCTAGACCCTCCAGAAAAACGCGGGCTAAAATCCTTGATTATGCATGCGGGGTTTTTATGTGATTTTATGCGGTGAAGTTGCGAAATATGCGGAAATATGCGAAAAGTTGCGAAATATGCGGGAGGCGGAAAAAAAGGTGATTCTTCTCCCACACCCTGTTACTAGGCTACTACTGAATGAAAGTGAGCCCTTTTAAAGAGTTCCTATGATAAACAAGCATACTAGAAGCAAGCTACATCACAAAGTGTTATTTATGTATTTATATATGGGCTATTTTAATCACTCTCTCTCTCTCACACACACACACACACACACACACACACACACACACACACACACACACACACACACACACACACACACACACACACACACACACACACTCTTCTCCGCCTCATTCTGTTTTCATTTACTCGTTCGTTATCTGACCAGCTTCAATCTTGTAGGCTACTCACCTCATTTCTTGTAGCCCTCAAAAGGGTTTTGGAGGTTGATGCCTCGGTGAACGCGAGTTGTTTGGCTTTCTTGTCCGCAGCAGCAGAAAGCATTTTAGAATGTTTGAATGAATCAAAGTGGGTCGTCACCGTCGATTTTCTCTTATGCTCCAACACACAGTTGCACGGGGTGCAGAATAGTTTCCCCCCACTTTCGTGCAAGACATCGGGGTACTGCTTTGCCCGGTCTTTAGCAGAAATGTTCGTAGGCAAATGAGATGGATTCGATTTGTTCATCTTGGTCAGAGCCGTATAATAGTATAATAGTATATAATAATAATAGTATAATAGTATATAATAATCTATATGGCGCTGATCTTGTTGTTTTCTCTCTCGTGTGAGTTCCACACATTCAATACGGTGTTGTTTACCTGCGCGAGCTGATGACATCACTACTTCACGTTAACTTTTTTTTCCCTCAACTTTGTGTGGAAAAATGTGGGGATTATGCGACCTTTTCATAAATATGCGCCCTTTTAAAAATCTGCTCCATTTAGCTGATTATGCGGTAAATTATGCGATCGCATAATCGCGTTTTTCTGGAGGGTCTAATTAGCCTTGTATTCCTGCAGGTAGACGGTCTGTTGTTCTCAGGTTTAGCATGAGGCTCTGCTGCATCATCATCTGGCCTCTGCAGTGATAAATATAACTGAACTCCTATTGTCTTCATCCCCCCCCTTACTTTGGTGTTCGTGGTCAAATTTGACCGGTCCTGTTTTAATCCTCATATCATCATCACCACATTTCATTTAACACCCTTTCAAACTGTACATATTGTATCAGACTACCGGTATACATGAAACACTGCAGTAAATATACAAAGAATAGACACTGAACATGTATTGCGTGTGCCAGGTGTGATCCATGGATGGTTAATAATTCCTTTTCTTTATGGGGTCATTTGTGACCGGGAACACCATGGGTGTTACAAAGTTGCACTTTTTGCATATCATGTATTTTGTTTTTACCATGTTTGTAAAATGTAATTTTCTTAAATGTTTAATGTGAGGGACTGCGGATGGAAACTAGCTCAAAGCTAAATCTGGCACTGTTAAGGCCCCTACACACCAGGCCGATATCGGCCGTCTTGCGTTGTTGGGCGAAAACGGGTTCCTTGTCGCCCAAAGTCAATTTGGTGTGTCCCGAACCCTCGGCCGTGACACGCCTTATTTGGCCTTTCACGATCGACACCCGGCCGATTCAACATGTTGAATCGGCCGGGTGTCGGACACAAGCTATCGGGCCAAGAAACCACTCTGATCAGCTGTTCAGCTAGCAAATGAGAAGCGAAACGGAAGTGAGGGACGTAAACAAACGATTTAAGAAGGCACAGGACAGCAGCTAAACCCCAGCAGGTGATACTTAAAGACATCAAACATAGCCCTTAAATGTCCTCTCTTACCTCCCACACATAGCAGGGACATCTCTGATATCGGCGGGAGCGTCCCCGGCTGTCCTCTGCTGAGAGCTCCGTGATTTGTTTGGTCAAGTCCGGTTTTTCATCTCATCGTAAATTTAGCAAGAAGTGGCCATTACTACATTGCTGACTCAATAAACTACACACCCGCCAGAACACTGCGATCATCAGATGCAGGTCTATTAACTGTGAGTTTATAGTATGTCTGCACTTTATGTGCTCATTTCATCATGCATGTATTTTTATATTCTAAAACATGTTTTCGATGGACGAGAGTGAAAATGGAACGCACACGCTATTTGTTTGTTTATATCAGTCTGTTCTTCTTCTCTGTCTTCCGGTTGTTGCCTATTTTGAATGACGAATACACACTACCGCCGCCTGCTGGTAAGGAGAGTTATTGCCACTCACGCATGCGCAGTTCGTACGTGCTCGGCTGAAGTCTTTGCGGTGATTTCCAGTGCGACACACGGCCAAGACGCAGGAGAACTCGTCGATGGAACTGTCGGTGTCGGGTGTCGGCGAGTTCTCTGGTGACTGCCTGGTGTGTCAGGGCCTTTACGCTTGACACATTTTAATGTTTTAAGTGTTCATTACTGTGCATTGTCCCTGCCAAATAAACGATTAAATAAAAAATAAATAAAAAAATCATCCAAAATGCAATGAAAGTGGTGATCAGCAATTGTATATGTTCAAATGTCTACTGTGAAGGATATCATAAAGCCTTAATGCAATCGAATCTAAAACAAAATAAGTTATGATTGATGAAAGTAGTAGATCGGTCAGATTTGACCCAACACAACAGGAGGGTTAATTGAATACATTACTGTAGTATTAGAGCTTTAACGGCAGGAAAGGATCTCAAACACTAAACAGTGACCCTGCTAAACATCAGCACTACAGTGAGCATGCATTAGCACGCTAAAGCTAGCATTTAGCACAAAGCACATTAGAGATAAAACATCAGTCCCCATGTGTCAGGAAGGGGAGCGCAGAGCAACACGAGAAACACCAACCATTACATTCAATTCATTCAGTGATTAATTAAAACAGTGAAGACTCATTAAGCTCACAGGTTGCAGGATCAAGGCAGGAAGTGACGATGACACACAGGAAGTGATGATGACACACAGGAAGTGACGATGACACACAGGAAGTGGCTGAGAGGAAGCAGGTGATCAGCAGGAGGAAGAGAGGAGGACATCTGCTGGAGACAGGGAGGAGATACAGAGCAAAACATTCAGAAACTTAAAGGTGCTATACAAATAAAGTGTATTATTATTATTATTATTATTATTATTATTATTATTATTATTATTATTATTATTATTATTATTATTATTATTATTATTATTATTATTAAAGGGAAATCCTCTCTGACTGTAGTCGCACTTCATCCATGGAGTGAACACGCCCCAGACTCGAGGCTACAGAGAAGTTTAGAGCGGGACGATCCGATGTTTCTGTGAGCAGCAGCCTCTACCGGATACTGATAACCGTCATTTGATCTCTGCTCTCTGATTGGCTGCTGCCCGTCTAAGAGCCCGCCCTCTGAGGCAGGTTCAGAGAGTCGGACAGGTGAGATGAAGATGAAGAACGAGCTCTTCCTCCTACGCTGATGTGCCCCCGCCACATGTTATTTTTAACAATGGTAAATGATATCTGCCGCCGGGCTCCTTTGTTTACTTCCGGGACATAGTGACATCACTACGGAACCCTCGCGCTCCTATTGGCTAGCGCTCAAACTCATTGTGCACTCTTTAAACGAAATATCTCCTTCCACTTCCTCTCTGAGCTGAATATAATTCATACATCATAAACATTGGTCATTAGACATTCCCAAAGATATTGAAGTGACTGTTATTTTGTATTTATTGATTGTTGTGTTTTTATCTTAATGTGTGCATATGTATAAATGTGTCTGTTGATTGTGTATACATAGGATATACACATTTTTATATATATTTGTATTTTTGTAATCGGGATGGTGGGAAACGGTATTTTGATCTCTCCGTCTGTACACACAAACTGAAAGATTGACAATAAAGTTGACTTTGACTTTTGATAAAAGACACATGTATGAAGGCTTCAGCGGACGTGCAAAGCTTTCCTCTCTCTAACAAAGCTCTGATATTGATCTGTGGTCATCAGTGTGCTCGACATGCAGTCGGTGTTATATGTATGTGAGTCAGTAAACATATGAAGAGCACAGGAAACCAGCCTGAGGGGTATAGAATAATCCTGAGTGTGAACTTCAGAGATCAAATGAGCTGCAGGCCTTTGGGTCTGCATCTGCTTCTGCAATGATTCCTAACAGTGTGAGTGTCCTATATGTCTCTGCGTGAGAGGAGCAGGAGAGCTGCTTGAATAATATCTTCTGCAGACAATAGAGGTATTATCCTGCAGCGGTGACCATGCATACGTCCTCTGAGTTAAAGCCTCATATTGGCACCATGTGTAGAACACCTGTTCAATTAGGAGTGTGTCTCTGATATGCTTTCATGCATTTAAACTATACATTATAAAGGGAATCATGAGAGGTGTATTTTCTGTTAGTTACAGCGGTGGGAAGTACATTTACTCAAGTACTGTACTTAGTTACTTTAAGTATATTTTGATGCTAATACTTTTCTACTTTTACTTCAGAAACATTTTGCAGGACTTTTACTGTAACAGAGTATTCCTACACTCTGGTACTTCTACTTTTACTCAAGTACAAGATCTGAGTACTTCTACTTTTACTCAAGTACAAGATCTGAGTACTTCTACTTTTACTCCAAGATCTGAGTACTTCTACTTTTACTCAAGTACAAGATCTGAGTACTTCTACTTTTACTCCAAGATCTGAGTACTTCTACTTTTACTCAAGTACAAGATCTGAGTACTTCTACTTTTACTCCAAGATCTGAGTACTTCTACTTTTACTCAAGTACAATATCTGAGTACTTCTACTTTTACTGAAGTACAAGATCTGAGTACTTCTACTTTTACTCCAAGATCTGAGTACTTCTACTTTTACTCCAAGATCTGAGTACTTCTACTTTTACTCAAGTACAAGATCTGAGTACTTCTACTTTTACTCAAGTAGAAGATCTGAGTACTTCTACTTTTACTGAAGTACAAGATCTGAGTACTTCTACTTTTACTCAAGTACAAGATCTGAGTACTTCTACTTTTACTCCAAGATCTGAGTACTTCTACTTTTACTCAAGTACAAGATCTGAGTACTTCTACTTTTACTGAAGTACAAGATCTGAGTACTTCTACTTTTACTCAAGTACAAGATCTGAGTACTTCTACTTTTACTCCAAGATCTGAGTACTTCTACTTTTACTCCAAGATCTGAGTACTTCTACTTTTACTCAAGTACAAGATCTGAGTACTTCTACTTTTACTCCAAGATCTGAGTACTTCTACTTTTACTGAAGTACAATATCTGAGTACTTCTACTTTTACTCAAGTACAAGATCTGAGTACTTCTACTTTTACTCCAAGATCTGAGTACTTCTACTTTTACTCCAAGATCTGAGTACTTCTACTTTTACTCAAGTACAAGATCTGAGTACTTCTACTTTTACTCCAAGATCTGAGTACTTCTACTTTTACTCAAGTACAAGATCTGAGTACTTCTACTTTTACTGAAGTACAAGATCTGAGTACTTCTACTGTCTTGTCAACAAAACGATTGACTACCCTCACTATCACCACAATGAAACACGTCCTGAAGAATGTCATGCAAAGCTGCCTGCCTGCCTTCCTTTGATTCTCTCTGAACTGCCTGGTCGTTTTAATGTTTAATGTCAACCATTTGTGCAGATAGCATGAAGTAGAGAAGATCGCCGATGCTAGCGTTAGCGTTAGCATTTCTCCCCCGGGCTTAAATTGTGTATTATAGAATGATCACACCGGTGACAGTACTATTCAAAGGTTCACAAAATATGACTACTACTCTTACTGTTTAACATTTTGGGTTACTTAATGTTACTTCATGTTAAGGCTAATACAAATGACAAGGCTGTAATGCTAACTAACGTGCTAGCTACTAGCTATGTAGCTAACTTGATCCTTTCATCAGACGGGAAGCGAAAGAACGAGCAAGACCCATTGCTGGTATGATAACAACCTGGTACTAAGCACACAGGCATCTTGTTAAAGTTATCTTATCTTAGCCAGCGCCATATAGATAGATTATATCTATATGGTGCTGATCTTAGGTATCTCTTAGTGGAGGAAAACAATTGTGACATCACTTACTCTGGGATTTGTAGTCTTTCTAGTTGCGTATTTTTCATAGTCTTATATTTCAACAGTTTTACGACAAACTGTGACTTTTTTGACATGGAAATGATTTTTTAAGATTGACAAACATCATATGTGTAATTCATGGCACAATTCAAACGGGATCGAAAGATACGTTTTCTCTCTTCATTGACTTCAATGCATAATTTTTCCGAAATAAGGTCCCATGGACCGGAAGTAGATGGGCGTGACTTTGCCACTCTATAGGAGCTGTGATGTCACTATGATGAACACAGGGATTGTAGCCTTTGCAGACCATTTACAAAAACCCAGAGAACACTAAAAGAGAGAAAACACCACAACAAGCAGAAAAGGGCCTCTTTGATCGCTGCATTAAAATAAATAGAATCACTTTTGGCCCCTGTCCTCTTCCATGATAACATCAGACAGAAGTAAAGCATATCTCATCTTAGACAGACTCACTGACTATAGCTGCCTCCTGCACAGCCCTCCATATTTCATTACATTTAGCTGATGCTTTTATTCAAATGGATCACAGCGAGTACGTCTCCTCCATCTGATCCCGCTTCACTTCAATCTGCATCAAAGCTCACAGAAACCTCTCCAACACTGAAGGAGCTCCGAGGATAATAACCGTATTCTATAGAGCAGCAGAAAACACACACACTATTGTTACAGTGACAGAGTGTGTGTGTGTGTGTGTGTGTGTGTGTGTGTGTGTGTGTGTGTGTGTGTGTGTGTGTGTGTGTGTGTGTGTGTGTGTGTGTGTGTGTGTGTGTGTGTGTGTGTGTGTGTGTGTGTGTGTGTTGAGATGAGGAGCCTCTCTGCTGCTTTTCTGATGAAGAGCATGAGATCATCAGCCATAAACACAGCATGCTGAGGGGTTTATGATGCCTACCGTCAATACATTCTCAGTAATAAATGGAGGATTTGCTGTTCCAACACATCATCATTTAACTGAGTCTCACTCCAGTCGGCGTTCAGTGTTCAAACTCTGGAGTTTCATCATTATTTTAGAAAAATGTGATTCATTAAAATCTCAGCAATTTACGAGCAAACAGCGCAAAGCAGAGAGTAAAATCACTTTGCAAATAAATAAACGTTAATAACATTGTCATTATTTTTTCGCCACATTTGTGCTTTTTTATTGTTATTTATTTTAATATTTTTTACAACTTTATTTTTCACTGGTTAAATCCGTTAAAAACGAACCTTTCCATAGATCAGGCTGTTGAGTTATACTTTACTTGAGTATGTTATGCTACTGTGTACTTCTACTCCACTACAGTTCAGAGGTACATGGTGTACTTTTCCTCCACTACATGTATTTAATACCTTTAGTTACTTCACAGATGTGGATGAATGATGTGAAATATAATCAAGTGTTAAATCAGACTTTAGTTCCACCTGGAGTAAATCCACAAGCTACCCTGCAGTATACAAAGTCATTCAAACTAGCTGCACCTTTACCAGCTTTGAGAACACTTTAATGATCAATCATTATAAAACATATCATATATATTATTCTGAAATGGACCAATCTGCACAATGACTACTTTTACTGTCGCTACTTTCACTATATTTTGATGAGAATACTTTTATACTTTCACTTGAGGAACATTTTGAATGCAGGACTTTTACTGAAACAGAGTATTCCTACACTCTGGTACTTCTACTTTTACTCAAGTACAAGATCTGAGTACTTCTACTTTTACTCAAGTACAAGATCTGAGTACTTCTACTTTGACTCAAGTACAAGATCTGAGTACTTCTACTTTTACTCAAGTACCAGATCTGAGTACTTCTACTTTTACTCAAGTACCAGATCTGAGTACTTCTACTTTTACTCAAGTACCAGATCTGAGTACTTCTACTTTTACTCAAGTATCAGATCTGAGTACTTCTACTTTTACTCAAGTACCAGATCTGAGTACTTCTACTTTTACTCAAGTACAAGATCTGAGTACTTCTACTTTGACTCAAGTACAAGATCTGAGTACTTCTACTTTTACTCAAGTACCAGATCTGAGTACTTCTACTTTTACTCAAGTACAAGATCTGAGTACTTCTACTTTGACTCAAGTACAAGATCTGAGTACTTCTACTTTTACTCAAGTACCAGATCTGAGTACTTCTACTTTTACTCAAGTACCAGATCTGAGTACTTCTACTTTTACTCTAGTACAAGATCTGCGTACTTCTACTTTTACTCAAGTATCAGATCTGAGTACTTCTACTTTTACTCAAGTACCAGATCTGAGTACTTCTACTTTTACTCAAGTACCAGATCTGAGTACTTCTACTTTTACTCAAGTACCAGATCTGAGTACTTCTACTTTTACTCAAGTACCAGATCTGAGTACTTCTACTTTTACTCAAGTACCAGATCTGAGCATGGGCGTCGCAGCCATTATATGAGGGTGGGACAAGTCCCCCCCACTTTTTCAAATGATTAGTTTAGACCCCCCCACTTTTACTATGCGGAAAGTCCGTGAATCGGAAAGTCCGTGAATCGGTCTATCCACTCGCCGCACTTTGTAGAGCGCTGTGTCAGTGCTTCACTATCAAATGAAATCCATTCCACTTGCTTATTGAGAGAATGCCCAAATCAATGAAACTCCGTACCATGTTTTCACTGCTACTTTGTACCAAGGCAGATTCTCACATAGCGCGCGCATGTTCAAGGAGTGTTGTCATAGTTGGACAGCTCAGATCTGTTGTATGAAGCGATGCCGGTAGCGGAGGTAAGGCACACACACCAAATGTTCAGGAAATGGTTAATACAGCGAAAATCAAAGCTGACGATCTCTTGGTTTGATATGTTTTCTCCCCCAGACAACATGGACATAAGAACATTTTTTTCAAAGAAGAGGAAAGTAAGTCATCAGCTGGTAGCAGTTAATCAGTTAACAGTGATGGCGGCGTCTCACTTCTGGAGAGGAGTTTCGTCTTTATGTCATGATAGAGAGATACAAATACTGAATAGTTTAGATGAGAAAAGGCATCGAAATGCCAGGTTACTAGTATTTATCATGTAAACAGGGAACATGAATAACCCGATCTCTCTGTGCTCATGTAAACACCATATCCCCAATATGATCATAACCGGGATAATACTCATAAACGGCTTACTGATGTCCATGTAGAGACGCAGTCAGTGTGTTTTACTGGAGCCTCAGTTCGATAAGAGATTCTTTTCTGAGTTCTTTAACTTAGGTACTCTCTCTCAAAATGGTAATGTGCATTATGTTTTAATTATACTTCTTATCATTCAGAAGCTTTTTGTGTGTGTTTATGTTTTACTGAGTGCTTATAGGCTATTTCCATCCCAGTATTCAGTTAACTATTTATTTTCTGTGCACATTACATAGAATAGTCTACCTACTGCTTGGGACTTTGAGTCTTCAAAATGTCCAATGTCACAGACTGGGACTTACTTTAGAGTCAGTTGTATTTACATTCAGTATGACTTGTTATGATTCAATGTGAAAGAGTATACTGCTCAATAAATAATTGTCACTTCACCACCTCTCTTGACATCTAGGCACTTGAGAGTGAGTCAGAGGCAGAATGCAGGGACAGTGGAGAGAGGTCCATTGCTGAGGTGAGTGATGAAAGGGAAATGACAGTTGAGAGTAAATTGTGATGTGGACTCTCATCCCAGGATTTTAAGGAAATCAGTGGGGATATTGAACGGGAAACATTTCAGTCAAGGGGCATCATATGACCAATATAGACAGAAGAGCAACATTTATTTGAACATTTAAGTCAATGATACCATTCCTAGGTGAACTTAACATCTGTATGGAGTCAGATCAGTCTCAATATTAATAAATGCTCACAGAAGGATTCACAAATGTATTTTGCGATTTATATATAAATGACTCTCCACAACAATATCTCTCAATGCACTCACAAATATTTATTGTTGTATAAAAAAATGGGCATTTAAACTGCTTTTTATTAATTCAAAGACAGCTCTGAATTAATAATCAAATATGTTTCCTTTCTTTACTACTGGATGAAATTACAAAATGTACCCATCATTTCCCTCATGCTAGTATAGCCACATAAAAGTATCAAACCACCTGTTAAAATGCACCAGAATACAGGAAATCTATATATTTTTTCGCCCCCACACCCCCCGTTAAAAATGTCCCCCCCACATTCAGGATGCTTCCTACGCCCATGGATCTGAGTACTTCTACTTTTACTCAAGTACCAGATCTGAGTACTTCTACTTCTACTCAAGTACAAGATCTGAGTGCTTCAAACTCGCCCCGTTATAAATAAACTGAGAACAAATCAAACCTGAGTTTGCAGATTTGAATCCCAGAAAAACACTGAGCAATAACTACATGTTGTTCAGTGGTGAAACCTCAATAAATAAACTTCAGTTGGTACGACCTCTCACCTTTCAGTCTGTCTTCACTTCCTGTCACCTGAGAGGAGAAGGAAAGAGAGAGAGAATAATGATAATGATGATAAAACATGGAGAGAAACAGCCAAAATGATGAAGAGAGAGAAACAAGAGTGTTGTTTTCCTCTGAGGACATGCTCCATGAAAGAGTTTCATATCTTGATGAATGGAGGATATTCAGTACTCACAGTTCTTCTGGATCTTGGCTCTGATCGTCTCATGACCTCTGATCCTGTAGGGATGAACACAATCCAACAGTTATGGATCCAGTTTAAAATAAGTGTTTGTTCTTTGAGTCAGCTTCAGAGTCCTGACTGATCTCATGCTTTACATCCCATCATATCTTCTCTGCAAACACTACGACTGACTGCCACAGCTCTCAGCTGCATTACAGGAAGTAACAGTCATTAGTCAAGGAGCTCAAAACATCCCATCAAAAACAGACTACCTTTTCCACTCTTCTGTCAAATCCCATATGTCTGGTGGAAAGTTGATTACTTACTAAATGTGGCTTTGCATTTTCAGCTGGCCTTCTATAGTTGATGGAAGAATGAAAGAGCCTGCAGTCAGTGGGTAACATCACTGATCTGTTGTGATTCCCCAGTGAGAGAAACACCTCCCTGTGTTTCATACAATACTGCTGAACCAGCAGAGACCCCTTACTGACCTGAGGGTCTCCAGTCTGCAGTCTGGGCTCTCCAGAAGATCTCTCAGCAGCTTCTCTCCTGAATCCTGCAGAACGTAGTTCCATCTCAGGTCCAGCTCTCTCAGATGGATGTTGGACTTCAGAGCTGAGGCCAGAGCAGAACAGCTGATCTCTGACAACCTGCACTCCTTCAGTCTGAATAAAGAAAACATGATGAGGATAAGAATCTGTTTATAATCCAATCAGATGTTACTCAACATTTAAATGAATCTGAACAGAAACATCTGTCTACTTCAGAAAGTGAACTTTATCATGTAAAACTAAAATGACTTCAGATGACCTTTATTCAGACGTTATCGTTTACTAAATATTAAATACTTAGATTTACTTTTTACAACTAACATCTATTACAGTTACTTTAAGAAACAGTCAACATGTATGTCTGCAGTTCTTACTTCTTACTTTTCAAAATGAAATATGAATATAAGGACATGTACAACTCTATGGATGGAAGTTATTAATGAATATAAATGAGGTTCAATCACAAAGTGAACATGTGAGATCTCCAGCAGTAACAGAGAGTCAGTGAACTGACCTGAGAGTCTCCAGTCTGCAGTCTGGACTCTCCAGAAGATCTCTCAGCAGCTCCACTCCTGAATCCTTCAGCTTGTTCTTACTCAGGTCCAGATCTCTCAGATGGATGTTGGACTTCAGAGCTGAGATCAGAGCAGACCAGTTGATCTCTGACAAACTGCAGCGCTCCAGTCTGAATAAAGAAAACATGATGTAAGTTTAGAAAACAATGTTCCTGTTTGAAATAACTCACAGTTTAATAATCTGTTCAGAGTTAAACAGGGTTTTAATGTCAGAGATGATGCAGAAACAATCCACTGATAATCTGGAACTTTAACTTTGATCAGATGTTTAACAACTCCTTCATCTCCCTCACAGCTCATCAGTACTGACAGCATCTCCACTGACTCATGGAGCACAGAGTGAGTCTGTGGAAGCTCAAACACTCTCCCTCACACATTCACCTTCTCTTTGTTACTCTGATCAATATGCAGTCATTAGCAAAAACGGAACAAATAACAATAACATTGTATTTGTTCAAATTCAGAAAATCATAAACACAAACAGATCAATATGAAGTGCAGTCAGTGAACTGACCTGAGAGCCTCCAGTCTGCAGTTTGGACTCTTTAGTCCAGAACTCAGCATCTCCACATCTGAATCCTTCAGAGTGTTCTCACTCAGGTCCAGATCTCTCAGATGAGAGGGGTCAGACTTCAGAGCTGAGGCCACGACTTCACAGACAGTGTCTGAGAGTTCATAGGGTCCATAGAGTCCAGAGCCACCAAGTCTATAATAAAACATATATTACAACATTAAAAAGAGGAAACATTATATTAACATCAAGCATTTGATGAAAAAAGATTTGACATGTTCTGATAGACCTTTGCTGTTAGTCCATTTATTATAATATATAATAATATATGATCATAGAGTGTAATGAGTTGTCAGTGTGATCTGATCACATGTCTGTGCTCCTGCTGTCACTGACTGTTACCAAAAGAAACAGAAATTAAATAAATCACTTGACAATATTAGAGATGTACATATTTAAATGTTAGTTAATATGTGGATGTGAATGATGGATGAAGGATGCTTTGGCTTCTCTGAGCATCTGAACATTTATTGCGCACACAAACACAATTAACAAACCAATAAAGTTTCAATATGTTCAACTTGATAGCATCAGATGTTCCCAGTATATCAGCATTAACACATAACTCTGTTATTGGTGGGAAATGATATAGATCTGATTTTAAACTCTAACACATTGTGATCAAAACGTGTTTAATGACAAAGAAACTACTAGAAAGTAATCATTAAAAAAAGGGTTGTTGCTTCACTTAAGGTTTGGAGGGAAGTCTGTCGTAATCAAAAACGATATGAAGATGTAATCTTCTTGAAAGAAATGAACTGATCAAGACTTCCCTCCTCACAAACTGAACAAATACCACCACATGTTGAAACTATGGGATTGCAGATTTGGAACAAATGTGCAGAAACATTCATAACACAACCAACTCAAACTACTGGAAAGAAAACACATGAAGCTTTTAACTCCATCCTTTAAGACACCCCAGATTCAAAGTGAACACAAACAAACCCTCACTTCAAAATGCTGGAGAGAATGCGCTGAGCAGAAACCAGACACATATATTCTGGGCCTGTGATGTGTTGGGAGACTTCTGGGAAACAGTTTGAAGAGAAATGTCCAATATCTTGTTCTCTCAACAAAAACCCATTGTCCCTATCACTGGGGAAACACCAGAGGAGATACAGAAAGATTCCTATCTATTTCTGGTCATTAGAAAAGCCATCATCAAACTAATGACAAGGAAGTGTCTAAAAGATAATAACTTAGTAAACTCACAATGGAATAACTTAGTAAATGAAATCTATGTAACGGAGAAAACAACTAGATTAGAAACCAAATGCATATCTTTGAGGAAAGGTGGGAGGAATGGGTCAGTATAGAACAATATAGTGAATATAATTAATGTATACCTGAGTATTCATAATGTATTCATAATGTATCCATTCTTTCATTTGTAATATTATTAATGCAATTATCCTATTATGTCTTTTCTGATTTGTCATCTGTTATGTAGTTCATCTATGTACTTAGATGTGTTTATTTGGTTATGTATGCTTTGTGAATATTTTCTTAAAAAGCAAAGAAAAAAGCAAAGAAAGTAATAATAACATGTTTCTGTGATAACTGTAAGTCCTGCTGTGTGGTGTGATCACATGCTGAGAAACCTCTCAAGTCCTTCATGTGTTTGACATGTCGCCTCCATCACTCAATATGAAGAGAGGAACGCTTCAGTTTAACTATTATTATAAATAAATAGAAGAACAGTGTTGGTTTATTTTGCTCTCTCAGTATTTAAACAGCAGAAATGTTATAGTGTTTATTTGAGTAATTAAACTCCTGATCCACATTAGTTTATAAAGTTAATCACATCTGGACTTACTTGAACTTCCTGCAGTTCCTCACAGCTGGAATCAGTCTCCGTCGTCCCTCATCTGATGTGTTGTACTGATTCAGGTCCAACTCATCCAGAACCTCCTCTGACATCTGCAGCATGTAGGCCAGAGCAGAGCAGTGGATATCAGAGAGTTCCTTCTCTGATCTGTTCTCTGACTTCAGGAACTCTGTGATCTCCTTCATCTCTGTCAGACAGTGGAAGATGTTGATCTTCCTGTCAGGAGAGAAATAACTGTTCATCTTCTTCAGGTTGTTGATGGCTCTCTGGATGGTTTCTGGTCTGTTGTCTGTGCGACCCAGCAGGCCTCCTAACAGTCTCTGGTTGGACTCCAGAGAGAGGCCGTGGAGAAAGCGGACAAACAGGTCCAGGTGGCCATTTTCACTTTTGAGGGATTTCTCCATGGCTCTCCACAGGAAGACATCCAGGGATGGGTAATCCTGATCTCTGCTGTTGTTAAAGTATCCCAGCAGGAAGTCCTTCAGTACCTCTGTGTCTCTGTTGGTGTAACAGTGCAACATGTAGACTGCAGCCAGAAACTCCTGAATGCTCAGATGAACAAAGCAGTAGACTGTTTTCTCGAAGATCACACTCTCTCTTTTGAAGATCTCTGTACAAACTCCTGAGTGCACCAAGGCCTCGGTGACATCAAGACCACAGCGCTCCAGGTCTTCTTGGTAGAACATGATGTCTCCTTTCTCCAGATGTTCAAACGCCAGCCTCCCCAGCTTCAGAAGAAGCTCCCTGTCAGCCTTCGTCAGCTGCTGTGGACTCGTCTCATGTCCCTCTTCATACTTCTGCTTCTTCCTCTTGGTCTGGACCAGCAGGAAGTGTGAGTACATGTCAGTGAGGGTCTGGGGCAGCTCTCCTCTCTGGTCTGTAGTCAACATGTGGTCCAGAACTGCAGCAGTGATCCAGCAGAAGACTGGGATCATACACATGATGTGGAGGCTCCTGGAGCTCTTGATGTGAGAGATGATTCTGCTGGACAGGTCTTCATCACTCGATCTCCTCCTGAAGTACTCCTCCTTCTGGGCGTCAGTGAAGCCTCGTACTTCTGTTACCCTGTCCACACACTCAGGAGGGATCTGATTGGCCGCTGCAGGTCTGGAAGTTATCCAGACGAGAGCCGAGGGAAGCAGCTTCCCCCTGATGAGGTTTGTCAGCAGCACGTTGACTGAGGACTGCTGTGAGACATCAGACACAACCTCATTGTTTCTGAAGTCCAGAGAAAGTCTGCTTTCATCCAGGCCGTCAAAGATGAGCAGCACTTTGCAGACAGCCAGCTGCTCTGCTGTGACCTTCTGTAAGGTTGGATGGAAAACATGGAGCAGCCTGAGAAGACTGTACTGCTCACCTTTGATCAGGTTCAGCTCCCTGAAGGAGAGCGGGATCACCAGACTGACATCTTGGTTTCCCAAACCCTCGGCCCAGTCCAGAGTGAACTTCTGCACTGAGAAGGTTTTTCCAACTCCAGCGACTCCGTTGGTCAGGACCGCTCTGATGTGAGTCTGTTGGTCAGGTGAGGCTTTGAAGATGTCCTGGCACTTGATTGGAGTGTCATGGAGGGTCTTCTTCTTGGAAGCTGTCTCCAGCTGCCTCACCTCATGTTGGGTATTAACCTCTTCACTCTGGCCTTGTGTGATGTAGAGCTCAGTGAAGATCCTGTTGAGGAGGGTTTCACTTTGATCAGTTCCTTCAGTCACACGTTCACATCTCCTCCTCAGACTGAGCCTATGTTCATCTAAAACCTCCTGCAGACCACTATCTGCTGGAAGAGAAGGAAACGTGAGAGAATGAGGGAAATGCTCTGAGAATCTAATTATAACAATAAAACAACAACAAACAGACTGAGTTTAAATGTTTTATAAACAGCTTACTGTCTATGCTCTACAACAGTATACCTGTTCAAACACAAATGAACCAGGAAGAGGAATAAGACGCTGCATGTGTTCGGCCTCTTACCTCGTACAGAGCTGGTCTGACTGGCAGGACTTCTCC